TTCCACGTGAAAAGCCACTTAATTGGGCTATCATTTGCGATAGATAGGAGGTCGCTTCTGAAAAAGAACTACATAGCCCAGTGGGCCTTCGCTAGTAAAATAAAAAATAGTCGCAGTAATTAGTGGTGCACGGGGAGGGGTGGCAAACTTAGCACCATGCCGGGCCACCCTCTATCTCTCCAATACGAGAGGTGACACTGCACCAGGAGCTCAATTTAGGGCGAGGAAACCGAGGGGAGGCCCATAGCAGGTTCGGTTACCCGTTGCCACTGATGTGCGTCACCAAAATGTAGCCGGCGGTGGCGGCTATGTTGCACGTGGATTGTAACCCAGCGAGGTTTGTGTGGATCGCACAAATGTTGTCAAACTCTCTTCCCGCGAGTGTCGAGGTTGCCATGAGAAAGCCGTGCAGTACAACATCTGTTTCCATCTGTACGGGGATCGAGTGTTGCCCCCTCGTGTGCGTGGGTTGTATAAACACTCATTACTTGGCTGAAAACATCTTAAAATTTTAAAAAATGTAGCAGGACCTTTCTAAAAAAGAGTCAGACGACTCGGTGTGGTTTCCTGTACGAATAATGTAATATTATATTCATTATTATATAAAAATAACAGAATCGTGGCTGTGCATGTCAACCACTCCCCCACTATACATTAATACACAGACATAACACAGTAGAGACCTACTTTGTTTCGCATTGTCCGGACAGAAATATTCTCATACATTGCTGGATATAAAAAAAAACACAAACACCTAAATGGAATTTATTAAAAACCCAGTGTCTTGGATTGCACTCCTACTTGGACATTCCTCTGTCAGAAACAATGATCCCAGGAGCACAACCGCTCTTGACCGTCTGTCAAGTAGGCCAAGTCAACCCTGACTGGGATTTGAACTCAGGGACCCAGGAGCAAAGTGCTTTGTCGTGTGAGCTGTCCCGGCCTTCAATGTGTTTGTGAGCAGAAGCATGTGCGTTAGTACATTGTGCATACAGTATAGAGTACATATTAGCATTGCAATGCGGCAATTCACTTCCCCGGTGAATTAATAAAATGCCGTGGGTTTCAGGGTCTTGAATGGTTTAATCGACATCGCAATTAAAGTCGATACACTTGTGGTACACTCATTGAATCACATAGGTAAGAATAAGTCACATATTTCATGTACATTTTTACGTGAATTATATGCTAATGTAATGCTTATATTAATGGTAAAAACAAAGCCGAGGCATACGCATGGGAACCCGTACGTACAGACGAACGAGACTGCACAGTCGAGATGGAGAGGAAATCAATTCTTGAACTGCGACTCCGAACCCTGACAATTACTTAAATTGCAGAGTGGGTGAATTGTTAAAATGTGTAATGACGAATAACTCTGTCATTCAAACAGATACATTCTCGACGATGCACAAACCAGCGTGCGTGTGCAATGCTGTCCTTACGTAATACAAAGACACCCCATATAGCCTTAACATACTGTCGTGGCAAGTGCTGTTAGCGAGCATCTGGCGATGATTTTTACACACCGCACCTGGTACTCCTTTGAGGCTGAGTCGACCTAGGGGAGGCCCAGGACTGATTCAAACATTGGTCACTGGTGTTGGCCATGGGCGGGAATCGAACTTGAGTCGCCGGGCTCGCAGCGCGCTAACCACTTCACTACCGCTCCCCATTATGTGATACACACACACACTCGCACTTGGAGATGGACAAGGTGAACGCAGGAAGCAGGAGCACGCGGTGGTGCCTTGGTTATGGGCGCAGCCCTTGCCCCTGTGGATGTGTGCGATGGTGTCGTGGTGTAGCGGTCATGAACCCGGCGACACGAGTTCGATTCCCGCTCACGGCAAACACCGTGTGACGATTATCTGAACCGGTCCTGGGCCTCCCTCTAGGTCGACTCGGCCTCAAACGAGCATCAGGTGTGGGGTGTAGTAAACATCGTCACTGGGGAGACAAAGGCGGCTGGGCGTGGTGCTGGCCACCCACCCCCCCTCGGGTGCCGTTTCGGCCTTCATAGGTGCTCGCTAACAGCACTTGCACCATCAGTCTGTTAAGGCTATGCAGGGGATCTCTGTCTCTGCGCGTGTGGGGGTGAGAGATGCCTGTAAAAATACGGCAACTTAATATCTGCAACCTAATAGCAGTTGTCGGATGGGATGGGAGGATATGACGCCGACCACCCAAGCTCCAGGATGCTGTCTGCTGGATGTCGCTAGAATGTTGGATGGATTTGTCTTTATTCTTAGCGAGAAATGTTGGAATTCACTGCGAGCGAATTACTGCCACACTGTTTGGGCTGAACAAAAGAAAAGTCAGTGTCTCCATTCTCAAGTGGGCACTGGGCCCGATGCTCGATCATTTGCATTGCTGGATTCTCGCCAATTGTGGAAGTTGCACATTCCAAAAGGGAAGGGATGGTCAAATCCATTGGGCAACCACTGTCGATTTGCCACAAAGCAGTCCAGCGTACTTAGCGGCTCCGAGGCAGAACTCGGCTAAATTATGTCCAGAGCACATGTCAACGTCACGATGGCCATTGGTGGCCTGTCTGAGACCATGAATTCGCTACGCAGTACTTGAGGGCCCATTCTGATCACAGGCAAAGCTGCCTGGATTGAAACCCAGGATCTCAGCGGCGGAGTCAGCTCAGCGCTCTGGCCTCTGAGCCACCCGCCCACCTCACATTGGCTCTGGGGTTGTTGACAGCCATGTGCGAACACCACCCCCCACCCTACCCTCAGCGCTCGCTCAAGCATGTCTATGCTGATAAGCGTGTTCGCTATATGTGCTTACGGGTGTTAACGTTTGCTTGCATGCACACGGAGCAATATTCGTGAATGTAGGCATGTTTCAACACGACAGTGGTATGCTGCGTGTGTGTATGTTGAACTTCTTTCGCACCGTACGTAGCAAACCGTGCTAATCGGAGGTGCGGATTCGGGCGTATGCCGTTTGGTGTATAGGCAGTTTTACCTTGGCATCTAATTCCTGGCTGTGCGCATCCGTGAAAATTAGCTGTCTGTACCTGGAGTGACCTCCTAGCCCAGGGGTCAGCAACCAAAATAACAAGAAGAGCCATTTCTTTCCAATTCGGTACAAAATTCAGTATTTCAAGAGCCGCAATGCATCTGAGTACATACTGTACATATCATCAAGAAGCAGCCTGTAAAGAGCCGCATGCGGCTCCGGAGCCGTAGGTTGCCGACCCCTGTCCTAGCCAAACCATGGCCTCATGTGCTGTGTCGGCCATAACAGTTGCCCGCTAAAAACACTCAACAAAACCACGTGCAAGTCAAAGTGTATTCAGTCTCATCCTCCGTTGCCTGCCACAAGCCAGCGGTAGAAGTCCACATTCCGTAAGAGTTTCACTGTTGACATCCCACAGTAAAATACCTGTTTTATCGACCAAGGTGTGATGATGGGTTGAACTAACACCCAACTCGAGTATTATCTTTAAATCGTCTGATTCTGAGTCGACCGCATGGGCAACCGTGCTGCCCAGCCAGATACAAACAGACCAACCGGCCTCCAGTTATATGTCTGTGTGAGTGCTTGTGTGTGTGTCTCTTCATATGTGCGTCTGTGTTTCTTCATATGTGTATGTGTGTGCACGAGCATAGCGTCCTTAATGATAACCGTCACACTTATTGGCAAGCTGTGTTGAATGATAAAATATCAACAAAACTGCTGCCCAGTGGCCAAATTGCTCGCTTCTCGGGGCCAAATCTGTGGCAGCGCTGCCTGCCAGCATCGCAAAACAGCTGACGATGAATGTGTAATGTTCACCGATGTAATGACCCTTGTGTTCTAATATATACTCGACGGTGCCTATATATGCACTCGCTTCCATATCTAATTTTAAACGTGACTCCTTTGCCGCTACCTAACGCCGTATAAGCAATATCATGCTTCCTAATGGGAGCGCATTTTGTAAAATAGCATTGGGTGATTTTTATCTGTAAACTCGTTGGTGGTAATGGATGGTGAAATTGCACATCCCTTGAGCCCCCATCTTAGCGGGGGGTATGGAAAGGACTGTACTGTAATGAAATTGCCACTGCTTATGTTTGTATCTGGCTTCCAATTCAACACTCGACGCCGAGTATTTCTTGCTTTCTGCTCTCGTGCTTCCCCCCCCTCTGCACTCGGATTTCTGCTGTACCGTATGTCTGCTTCACTCGCACGCTAGGTCGCTCGCGTATTCGCTCAATAACTGACTTTTTGCTAATTTGGGCATTCGCTCACTCATCCATGTACTCGCTCGCACGGCTGCTCACTCGCTTTTATTTCGCTCTCTCTAGCTACGATATGTATTTTCACTTTACTCCATATATTTGCACTACAGTTGTTCTTGTTTACATCTGTCTCATTCTCCCCATTTGTCAATCTGTCATTGCTTGGCTGTCTGTCTATCCGCTCTCCTCCACTTTATTAATTCCCTTGAAATTCTCCATTATTTATCATTCTCTAAGATGACCACACCATCTCTCCCAGAGCACAAGTCCTCCCGAAGCAAACGGACCCCAGCTAAGACAGTGATTCAGTGGCAGTAGGCGGGATCTGGCTGCAAGTGTGGCCTCTCATATTTAGCATGGCGGCCTCTTCATATTTAGCCAAGTGGTGCTTTGCAAAGGCATTCGACTCCCGTTCTCAATAGGTAGCAAGTTCAAATCCCAGTCAGGGGTTACCTCACTCCTTCATACCTCCAGGGTCTATAAAATGTATATACCACTTTTATAATTCAATATGTTTCGTCCTCTGGGTAAACTGGCCACTGCCATGGGAATGTGGAATTTCCACCACCAGCTCTCATCCGCCAAAGGTGTTTAGCACCGCCGCTGGAATCGCGAACCTCTGCAACAACCGGCAAATGCGCTACCGCTCGGCCATGCCGTTAGTGTCCCGTGTCTCACTTTGCTCTTCGGGGTCGCGTCCTTTTCGTCCGTATGGTCTTCCGCACGTTCTTAAATATTTGCCTTTTCCTTCCGCCGCAGAGATCCGGGCGCAGCTGGGCGAGCAGCTCAAGTGCCTGGAGCAGCAGACGGAGATGCGAGCGCAGCTCCTCCAGGACCTGCAGGACTTCTTCCGCAAGAAGGCAGAGATCGAGTTGGAGTACTCGCGCGGCCTGGAGAAGCTCGCCGAGCGCTTCATGGCCAAGACGCGCAGCTCCAAGGACCACCAGCAGTTCAAGTGGGTCTCTTATTGTTTTGTTTATCGGATTGAAAGCAATGGCATGGTGGATATGTCATTTCTCACCATTATTTCAGGACTATAGGACATTCACAATTAATATAAAATATTTTTTATAGTTATTGTTTCGAGCAATGGGCCTTCATCGTTTTAATTTGCTGAATAATGCCACTTGCTAGCGCAGAGTCAATTCAAAGTAAAAAAAAACTCTTCAAAGTCTTCCACAAATTAATGAATGGTTTGTTGAGATGGGCATCGTGCTAAGCCGTAGCTGGTCAGCTTTCCAGTCCCAAGGTCTGTAGTGCTTCTTTAGCCCACTAATGGTTCGATTAAAAAACTCATAACTTATCAATTAAAATCTGGATTTATGCAAATAATATTAAATTATATTAGTAACTGATTATTTTTCATTATATCAGAATATACTTATTGTTTAGTAAAGTAGTATAGAGCCCTTAACATTCCAGTACTGGATTAAGGCCGTCTGCCCATCTTGGCGGTGGGTGTGTTGCTTGACCATACTTCACCACGCTGATCAGTGTGGGCTGGTGAACGAAGTATCCAAGTCTAGTACAGATATCGCGCGCCGCTGGTGGTAACTGCGTGTGGGAATCCAACGCGGCTCACCGGGTTTTTCGTGCGAAGTACAAACCACTGCAACCAATGCCCCCGCCTCGTTTTTCTTGTTTACTTATTTTGGCAAACTCATCCTGGGTAAACTGATTTACTCTGCAGAGAGCTCTCATGTGGTTCTCTTCTAAAGACATTCTCATCATCATCATCAGCCATGGTCAATTCACTTCTGGATGAAGGCCTCCCCCAAAGCCACTGCCAGCTCTCATGATCCTGCGATGCAACAATCCATCCAGCCCGCGAACACGAACAGATCTCATTAACTCCATCTCCTCGGTGGACGGGCCTTTCAGACGCATTCCACTCCTCAGCTGCCACTTAGTTTTTTTTATTGTTGACCATCGTCCATCACCCCTTCTCGCGATGTCTCCTGCACAAGCCCACGTAATACTGGATAGTTTGGATGATGTCATTAACCTACGTTTGTTCTCTAATCCACGTGTTATCTTTACGCCTCTCTATGCAAATTCCAAGCATGTGTATCTTCATGCTTCTTTTTGCAGACTGTACAGTTTGTGTCGTATATTTGTCTTTAACGACTGTCTGTTTGAACCACGTAGTAGGCAGTAGTACTCGCTGATTCAAACAACTGTCTTCTCTAGACACATTGCTACCTTAAGTTTTTAAACATCAAGTCTAGCTTTCGAAAAGCACTCCAACCTGCTCTCATTTGATAACTTCGATTCCGCTGCCATGCCACCTCAAAGAAGCACAAAGGGACGAGGAAGTGAGCAGAGCCCGGGAGACAGAAAGACAGAGAGAGAGAGAGCTGAGCGGCAGTCATTGATTGGTTCTACGGACAGTGGCAACAGCTGGGTTACAGCCGTCAGCAGTTAGGGCTCGGGTCACACAATAGCGGAGCTCATAGCTGCCACTGTAGCATGCACAGCGGCGTCTCTGAGCTAAGGGCTCGTTGCTGTCTGGCAGCAAGTTGGTGTCACTTTGGCAGGCCATCGTATGTGTTCATTGTAAACGGGTAACAAGTGCAGAGTGTTCAATGGCCCTGCTAACAGCTGCGGATTATATTAGACTGAAGAGGCAAAAAAAATCGTATTAAATGCAATTGCAATCATAGGCTCCATGAGCTGGCATTTTTATCAGAAGTTAATTAAAATAAAATGATAGGTATGCATGCTTTCGTGTAAAAGAATGTCACATCTGTGTTTTTTCAATGCAATTGCAATTTGTAAAGAGACACGATAGACTCATATTGTACGTCGCGTGCCAAGATATGATCCTTCTGCTGTTATTTTTTTTCCTTCCAAAACTTCATGGCCGCTGCCGTGCCAAGTGCTGTGGCCTGGTCGTGAATGTACAGAGGCTACACTTGCCAACTTCTATTATTACACATCGCAGTCAAACATGGCCCGAGATTTATTTTATAAACACAAATCAGGCACTTTAACGCTTGAATCAATTCCCGATGCGTGCAGTCTGCAGCTGTGGAGCCAGAGACTTGGGCCTAAGCTAGCATAGTTCTCAGCTCTCCGATGCGTTTTCGGTTTGTACCGTGCGTCGTTCGACACAGTGTCCGTCGTTTCGTTCCCGCGTGCTAGGAGCCTCTTCAGCACATGGCTCAGAGCGTCAGATATTGTGCCGAACGACGCACTGTTGTACACTCCGGTTAAAAACACATCGGGGAGCTGTACAGCATAACAACAAAAAACCTACACACACATCATGGGACCTGTTTGGCAGTGTATCAATTGTATGAAAAATAAGAATAGGTTTTACCCTTTCTGGCAATAAAACAGGAGGTGTTAAGATGTTCAAACACCGAATAGATTCCTTTTGCAAGGAATAAAGTCTGCATTAACCACACATACTTGTGGTGAACATGCAAAAAAAACGTGCTCTGGTAATATATGAACTGTCTTTGAAACTGATTGGCCTACGCCAGAGACAGCGTTCTTCATGGCCTAGTGTCAGACCAGAGAATGCCAACAGGCGAACAATACAAAGACAATGCACGTGTCAGAGAATTTACAGCTCGGGGTGATCAGCTATACACCGTAGTATCACCACAGTGCCTTCCATCCAGATTTAATGATACGAAGAAAGACCTTTGATCCTTGTGGGCACGAATGCAGAGCAAGTTGTCTTCTTGTTGGCAACGTTTGTGAACGTTTTTTGTTTTATGACCAAATGAGAGCCAATTGAGACAAAAGTCTATTTGCAGGGGGAGAACCTGGTTGGCACACTAAGTACGGTGTAGAGAAACAAACAATACAAGCATACATATCCAGAAGGATGAGGCAATAATTCATGCCTCGACATGAATGCAAATGAATCTAACACTGTACACATAATGTGCAGGAAGAATCAAAAGCAAACTTCATATTTACATTGCATGCAAATACAAGTGCCCATTAAGGGCCATTGCCCAAAATAATTCAGATTTTTTTTTCATTTTATGACCAATTACTCTTTTATTCCGATTCTTTGTCAGAAGGGTGCCTGTATTAATTTTTATTTTTAAAGATATTTTCAGCAATTTTTTTATACAAGTGGGAGGAAACCGGAACACCCGGAGAAAACTCACAAAGGGGGGTGGGGGGACACACTCTATCTCCGTACAGATGGAAGCAGACGGTGATCAGTCCACTTGCCGTACTGCCTTTTGGCGAGCCAGGTTATGGCATATCGATGCCTGCGCGAAGAGGGGGGGGGGGGCTCAGAAAATGTGTGCGATCCACCGACCCTCACTGCCTCCACAGTGCTGGACGACAGGCCACGTGCGGCATCGCCACCACCCAACGCAGTTTCCACTCTTGCCTTGAGATGCTATCGCGTTGGGACACCATACATCTGTGTAGAATTGTAATCGCCTCATATCACCGTGTCATCACGCTTGTTGGTTCGTGTTGCATTATTGACCGCATTTTTCTGCGTTTGTCTTCTGCTGTTTTTTTATTCCTCTTCTACAATGTGCTTACGTGGTTCCTCTCTTGCCTGTCTTCGCTGTGCGTGGCGATGTGGCGTTGCCTTCCGCTGGTGTGGCGTTCTCTGGCATGGCGTGGCATCCTTCGCCTGGCTTGCCGGCACCGTGGCACCTTTCCCCACCCTCCCCCGCTCCTTCCCCTTTGCAACCCCCCCCCCCCCAACTTTAATTTCCCACGCCGTCCCCACCGCGGATTTCCGCTCAAAGCAGGCGAGATCAGAACCTGCTGTCACCCGTCAACTGCTGGTACCTGCTGCTGAACCAGACGCGGCGCGAGAGCCGGGATCACGCCACGCTCAGCGACATCTACCTCAACAACGTCATCGTGCGCTTTGGACAAATCGGCGAGGACTCGCAGCGCCTCTTCAAAAAGGTACAGGTCCCCTCCACCCACCCCCCCACCCCCCCCCTCCACGGCTGTCCCCCTCCTCTTCCTCCCTCCCCCTGTCTTTCCCCCAGTATGTTAGTTTGGGTGCCAGGGTGGCGAGATGTTAACTACCTCGCCTGGTATGCGGGAGGTCATGGGTTTGATCCCGACCCTGACGCCTACTGCTGTATGTTTGGAGTTTGTGTGTCTCTCTTCCCGTGGTCGCCTGGATTTTTAGTCCGGGTCTTCCGGTTTTCCCCTCCACATTTTCATTATCAACGTGCGTTTAAGAGTATTTGGCTGCTATAAATGTCCACGTGATAATAAGCCACTTCGTTGAGCTATCGTTTGTGGCCAGGTCGCTTTTGAAAAAGAGCCCTTAGCTCAGTGGGGCTTACCTGCTAAAATAAAATAATAGCTTAGCTTCGTCATCTTACCCCTCCACCCCCCCGATATAAATCTTCATACCCCCCTCCACGTGGTCCCCACCTGGGTGGAGCAGTGAGCCCAATTTTCCCCCTTTATCGAGCCCTGTCAGACCTAAATCCGGTTGCTATTTGCGCCGTGTATGTCCCCCCTCGACCCCCGCTGTACAAAACACGACTGTTGTTTTGTTCCGGGCTCATGTTGAGTTGCAATAAAAACATAAAAAAGAGGTACAGTTTAAAAAAAATCTAATTTGTATGAATGCCACCTCGGCGTTTTTGTTTTTCGTTCGCGCTCTGGCGGATGGGAGCGGTCGCACGGCAGTAAAAACACCGAACTGTGAACTTGGTGACCTGAGTTCGATTCACGGTATACGGCTAACATCAGCACCGGTCATTTCCTTGCCAGTTCATAGGATCATCCTCTTTTTGAGGCAGCCATCCCAGAAAATCTGTCAGTAGCTGTCCTGTAATATCTGTAAGTTTAATTGGGGCATGAAAAGTTAAGTCTGAGAAGATTGTATGGCCCTAAGTCAGTGATAATGTCTCCATGATCAAACACGCCATAGGGGTGATGTTCATCCTCATTGGTGACCCTAAGTCAGTGGGGGAAATTCCACATTATTACGGCGAGGGGGGGAACAAGTCGGCCTTTAAGTTCACGCTGTTGGCTATTGCCTTCCCACAAAGTGATATGCATTTCATTGAATATGGATTGATCTCCTTTTAGAGGTTGATTAAGCCTGCGTCTATGCACCGAGCTGGTACGGCTGAAACCCTGGATTTTAATCCAGACAATCATCTATCAATAAACCAGGCATTCAGGTTTAGCGAGAAGCTGGTCTCACACGAGTCAACAATGATTGTTTCGTGTCCAAAGCAGATGCTTTCCAACCTGGACTTGAACCCATACATCTCAGTGACGGCAGGCTAAGTGACTTGACTTTTTCCATTAGCTCCGTCGGGCAGCCAGCTACCACCTTCTAAGAAACGGAGCTTTCGAGTAACGTAAAGGAAAAGCAGCGTTGTACTTAAAGGTCAACGACAATTTAGCAGAAAGCCCGCATCCTTGAAATGTTCAGGCTTTCTCAACGCACAGTTGACCGGGGACGTTTAGAGCTTTAAAGAAAATAAACCCCCACAAACCTACACAGACATCTGAGGAATTGGCCACTTAACCTGGTGTCAGATGTTGCTGCGGTAAATTTCACACCGCTCACTCCGTTGTTGCTGTTGGGTACCTTGAAGTTCCTGAAAAGGGAAAACGAAAAAACTCGAAGGAGGGTTGGACGTAGGTGGGGCTTCTGTGTAGGTTGCAGAGCGGCAGTGACGCTTTATTTTTATATCGCTAAAACTACACTTGGAATGTGCTTCACTAGGAGCTACAACACATACAAAGATACACATATACACGGATTGGAGAATATTATTCAAAGCTATATTCTTTCTGTTATCCATATACATTTCTACGATTTTAAGAATTACTGTAGTTAAATTATCCGTATGCTCTTTAAGAGCACTTGCCACAACAGTCTGTTAAGGCTATACTGGGGGAGGATCTTTGTCTTTGTAGTGCTCAAGTGAGCGTGGGGTGGTGCTCATCTCCAAACAATGGCGGAAATTCCACATTCCTATGGTGGTGACCCAATTTCAGTCGGATGACCACTGCTGACCCTTCCCAGCAAGTGGTGTTCATTTCCTCCGCCCTGGAGGAATGACAGGCTGAGTCCGACCCCCAGTCAGAACAGGAACTCATGCCTCTTGACTTTTTAGTTGATTGCGCTAACAAAAGTATCGCCTGTAACAATAAAACAACATCTGCCCGATCACTAGCCATGCACGGTTAAAAAAAGAAAACTCATTGTATTTAGTAATGTATTCAAGATGTATTATAAGACAATTTAACAAGGTCTGGATTAAGTAAATCATGGGGAAGGTTAGTGGGTTTTTAATATTACATAAGCTGTCTGCACAACAATTAGTAGCTGTTATAGTTTAATGCGAATAAGTAATTGGGGCAACCCATGAATGTTCGCCATAGTTTTGGTGCAGATCGTGGTTCAGAGGGCATTGAAATCGCAGAGTTCAGTCTGTGATTACTGTCACAGGTGCACTCCCCCTTGAGACACTGTTACCACAAATTGTACCTTTCCTATTAGCGCTGGTGTTTCACCACTTTTGTGCTACAGCATGTGAGGGTTTGTGTGTGTGACTGGAGAGATGAGCTATTTAAAAAAAAACAGAGCTTTTGCTTGTTTTTTAGATGGACTGCCAGGAATTCTTGATGTAAATCCTCGGCAAAACCGATGGATTACAAGCGTTTTGTTCCAAAAAAAATCCCACGGTATGATTTGTGCCAACGAGGGCATCATTGCTGTTGAAGGAAACGGCACAATCTTAATCATAAAAACGTTTGAAAGGATTAGGCGAAGACATAATCCCACTTTTCGTACATCAATACCGTTTGTTTATATAGTATTTTCAGTTTAAATTCATAAATTGTAAGTTCTCTGCAATGGGTGAAGTTGTCCCACGGAAGGCCACACTCATTTTATTTATAATTATTATTATTGTGTTGTTTCTTTGAGGGATTTATTGTGTGGAAAAAGGGTTTCCATAAATGTTATTGAGCAATAGCAGAAATATATACAAGCACTGCACTATGTGCCAACATGCATCATATTTATGCCACATAATGCTTATGCGGCACGTAAAAAATATTTATATGAAACAGATGGCGTGTTTTTGTGAAGGCTATGTGATTTGAAAGAAGTGGATCTACCCACACCTTACTCCACCACTCGTAATCCATTATTCACTTTTACTGCAGCGCACGGCATTTTCACTGCTGGGTCGAAATAAATAGTAGTAAAAGAATGATTTTGACCCTTCCAGAATAGGAATCAAACTTGGTACTTTTGATTTCCGAAGTCGGTGTGTTACAGTTCTTATAACACCAGATACATTGAGGTGCCAGTGTTGGTTAGAACGTCCATCTGGCAATTAATCAAGTTCACATCCTATCTTACATCTGGGGTGGATGAGAGTTACAATGCAATTTTGATTTGTACAGTATCATGTATGTATCTATGTTGAAGTTATTTTGCGCTGTACGTAGCCAACTGTGCTAATTAGAAGTGCGGGGGGAAGGACAACAAAGCTAAACACAAAAATAAGTTCTAACAGTGGGACATGTTACGGAGGAAAGTCCTTAAACTTTGGACTTAAACAGGGGAAGGGAGTCAACAGCACAGATGGCAGAGGGAAGACAGTTGGAGTCTATGGGGCCATAGAGAAGAAGATGCGAGATTCCACTGAGCAAAGGTTGACTGGAGGCTTTGATTTGATCGACGGCCTTAGTTCCCGGAGCATCGAGTGCATGGAGGGGATTCAGGTGAGGTGAGGGAAGAGTGGTAGGCAGGGGAAAGTTTATGGAGGATTTTGAAGATGGTGTCTGCGTGTGTGATCTTGAAGTTTATTCAGGATTGAATTGGAAGCTAGTGGAGGGACTGCAGTATTGGGGTGATGTGGTTATATTTACAGGTGCGGGTGAGATGTCTGTTTAGTGGCGTTTGGATGTGCTGACTTGGGGAGACTGTAGAGGAGAGAGTTTCGCGAGTCGAGTCAGGATGAGATGAAGGTTCCCAGCAGGTTTTGGGGGTAAGGACATGACATATTCAGGAGATAAATGAATTTGTCATGGTGGCCATCAAATGGGAATACTTGCCCCAAAGAAATGTGGAATGACCACCACTGACTTACAACCAGAAACATGGTTTCAGCTGGGAGATATTTTAACTTTCTGTCCGAGGTATTTTTTGGGAAGTACCACGTATAATGCTTTGGATGACGCACATCTGCGTGGTTTCTTTTTGTTGGTACGATGTCCCCAAAGACACAATCGGAGAGACATACAGCACAACCGCGAAAGCCATTGTCCGTCTCCGCTTTCTACACAAGAGCAGCTTTGCTTAGGGATCCTTCACTTCCAGGTTCTTTTTGACACAGTTCAACGATTTGTAATGTGTATGTCAAGGGTGTGGGCCTCTGGTGTTCTGCCGTTGTCTCTCAAGCTTTCCTCGGAAACCCTTTAATCTCCCACGTGGGAATATGTGCCTGTCGCCTCTCCGCTGTGTTGGCTCATCAGGGCCAGCCGGACAGCTGTGCGCTGTGTGCTTTCCCATCGCTTGTGTTTACACAGAGCCCTGAGTGGACAGGACAAGGGGGGGGGGGGGGTGGCCCTCTGTCTTTTTAAAATCTACCAGGCTCTGTGTAATCTTGTCTAAAGGTCGGATGGGGGAGGGGGCTCGGGGCGGGGGGACCCGGGGCAGGGGGGGGTGAAAAAGCAATGACTGTGTAAGGAAAGGGCGAGAAATCCGGTTGTATTTCCTGTTTAAAACCTCGTTAAACCGGCGAACGTGAGCTCTTGCGTTCCTCAGCACTGAGCCCCTTGGAGAAGGCCCAGTTTGTCCAGCAATGTTTCTTAAATGGGGAAAAACATTGCACGTTATTTTTATCGTTTTCGTTTTAGTTTTGGGCACCGATTTTTACAGCGTCGAGGGAAATAGCAAAAAAAAAATT